GCGCTCGTTCTCGTGCTACCATCCGAGTGCAGCCCAATCCTTCTGGGCAGAAGCCGAATAGCTGCTACGTCCCGAAAATCAAACCTTTTCCGCCCTCACGCCGAATGCTGCCAAAATGCTGCTGTCCTTGAGGTAACAGCTCTTTGTCTGTCGCCTTGACAAAATTCGCAGACAACAACGAGTCTGCTCACAACGCCGGAGAATTGTTGGGCTGAGAATGGCATAAGCTTGCAGCGGTTCCCAAGCAGTTGTGCTTGTCTCATTCTTTCAAACCTTTTCCCCGGTCACCCCTGTCTTTATGCCACAAACCCCATCACCCCTCCAAGATATCTGCATGCTGCTTCCTCACTCGGACACTCACATAATGGCAATATGTGAAGAATTCAAAAGACGTGCGATTGAAGCAACGCTACATGTCATCCATGCCACCTGTCTTTCATGCCAACAGACATGCTGCGTGCATCACGTGAGCTTTCGGGCTTATCACATGCTAGATTCATGTGTGCAACCAGGGACCATCGTGCACAGATGTTTCCGTACAAACTCGTGTTGTCGAATCTGATGCGATGCAACCCGGTGTGGTGCCAAGCCGACACTATCGCTACGTGCTGATTGTGACAAGTCGGTTTAGACTTTCGGCTTCCGATACTACGGACCTAAAAGTGTTTCCGACTGGCTCGGGGTGTGCTGTAGGGGGTTTGGGAATCATGATTTACAGTTTCGGGGCTTGTGGTGAGAGGGTTTAACTTCAGTGCAAAAATAAACATGACTTCGGTAAGTGAAAAATTACACTTAAGGCTTCGCTTCGAGGCTGTAGGTTTGGGGTTCAGAAGTTTATGCAGGGCGAAGGGTTTAGATTTTAGATTCGGGGCTTCAGGTTGGCTGAGAGGTTTAGAGTTTACGCCCCTCAGGACCTGATATCCATGGAGTTCCAGGTTTAGAAATGGAGTCCGTTTGGCCTAAGCCTTAAGAGTCAGGGTTGGAGTTCACAGTTGCGAATTTCATGAGATAGGCACAAGCCTGACCCGTTTCGTAGGTAGGTGAACAGTCTACTAGGAAGTGAAATATAGATAGGAATTTAAGACTTTAAGACTTAAGACGTAGCAACATGTACAGAGGTCTGAAATCACCTCAGCTGGTTGAGAGTTCGACAAGTGCGAGCCTCCAGAAGACTCCGCAGACGGTGACCGCCTGAAGGCAGCTGAAAGCAAGCAAGCACCACGTCAGATGCCCGCTGAAACAAGCAAGACCCCACAGTCTTGACCGCTCCTGCGCTTGCTTCTTTCTCCAAATTCCTTCGCGTTTAACCGGAAACATCGGCAGGCGTTGCTGTGTCAAGAACTGCGGTCGACATGCCCTAATCGCTCCTCCTCGTCAACCGGGTCCATGGCATCACTCACCAGACTCTGAAACCTTGACAGTCAAGCTTGCTGATTTTTGTCGACAGTCTGTTCCAGCAACGAACAAAAGCGTCCGATGCCGTGCTTGCTGCCTGGCCAACAGCGAGGAGGCCGAAGGGGCGTTGTCCAGCATGCTGTGAGAGTCCTGACATCTGAGCAGCCCCGCGAACAGAACACAACAGCCAGACTCGCCTGCTCTGTCGCCGGCGGTGGCGGAGCACTTGCTTTTTTTGCATAGCCAAGCACCTGCTAAAGAGAGAGTAGGTTCTTAAGATGGTAAGACATCATGTGCAGAGTGCCTTGGGTTGGGGAGGAGGCGTGCTTTCTGACTTGAGTCCCGGTGGCCGAGCCGCCGGTGTCACCCCGTACCTGGGCCAGCGATTGCCTGCTCTGCTGCCAATAAAGGCACACTCGAGCCGAGGCAGCAGCTTCTCGCAGATCCTGTCGTACATCTCCTCTTCACTGCCAGAGTACTTCTCCATCAAGTGTGGGACCTCAGGGCTCATTCGATTATCGAACTATCGCGCTTCGAGCCGACAAAACGCAAGTGAGACTCTGACATCTGCCAGTTTTTCAGGGTTGTGCTGCTGGTATACCTGCAAGGAGTGCCGAAAAGATCCCCTTCGTTTATCAACTGCTCGCTGCAGCGGCTGAGCCACATGCTGCTCGAATCTGTAGCCCGTACCACTGTTCTTGGCCGTCGTGTGTGTACGACCGACATGATGCCAAGCTGCGCCCTAGTGCAGACAAGGTTCCTGCAGATAAGTTGGGGTGCAAGTTAGCGAGAGTGGAAGCCAAGTGCGACTTCGCAGGCTTCGTTGTAGGGGTAGGCCTGCAACGGAGACACGAGAAGCAGGGCCCGCTGGTTTCTCCCCGAGAGCCCGGCACGCGCTGTGCCAGGGAGGATGGCGCAATGGCACTCTCTGGTGCGACGTCAGCCGGTTGGGCCCGAAGGCTTGCGTCCCAGGAGTCCCAGGAATGCCTTTTCCTGGCGTTGCTCGACGCTGCTGGAAACGCACTCCTGCAGTCAAGCGGCCTCTCAAGCTTGACGATTGGAGGGGCAGCGCTTGCCTCCCGACTTTGAAACTTGAAGATAATCCGTCGATCCTCTGGCCGCCAAAGCGCATCGTCGGCATGGGAAGATAGCTTCTTAGTACAGAACGGTTGAAATGTTCAATGAAGAGTGCAAGGCAACTCCGACAGCACCTTGGATGGTGGTGGGGATGTCCAAGCCTCGACAAAATGCAACCCAGCAGACCAAGCACAACCGTACAAACCGTTCGGACGGATTGACGAGGTCCATGGAGTCAGTCATCCTTGCCTTGGGCTCGTGTCTGGCAACCCCGAAAGCGATGCGAGGCCTGGCCGCACGCTCCTCAACAGACAGGAACTCTGCCTACTCAGCGAAACACAAGCACTAACGGCAATCCTCCTGCAACTTCTGATCCGCCCGCCTTTGCTCCTCCACTGCAGAGCTCACGGAAACCTTCCATGTCTTGTCACTCGCTCGAGCCTCCTCGAAACGCTCCCGCTCTTCCTCCTCCTGCTGCCTGCACAAGCAAGACCAAGGCTTCTTTCCCCCAAACCGTCCGCAACGCTTGCAGCAGCTGTTCGCACTACACATCAGTGCGTGAAGCGCCCGCCGAATTTGAGTTTGGCAATTGCTGCACCTCCTGGCAACTTCTTCGCGTTGCCTCCACATTGAATTCGCTCTTTTCGAGACCTGACTCGAAAGCAAAAACCGACAAAAGTGCTTGTCTGATCAGCAAAGCACCACCGAGGATCGAGGATCAACCTAACATCTTTTCATGGTCCCAGCCTCGTCTTCCTTTCCCATAAGGAGCACTTCAAACTTTCGCATGTTCTCTTCCTGCATGTTACACATTCATCTTGAGTTCGGGAGTATGGCTTCCGGAAAAATACAGACATTGATGTGGACCTCAACACGCAATGCTCGGACACCCTCTTTTCTGAAAGAGTGGCCACGTCTGATCGGTCCTCTCTTTCCCTCTGAAGCTTCTGCACAATGCGAAGCCTGCCGCATTAGAAGAAGTGCTGAGCTGAGCTTTACACTTACAACGGTCTTCGAAGGCAGGCAGCAGACAGGTCGAGCCGTGACACGTCACAAAAGCGCTGAGCAGCAGGGCTGCCGAGCCTGGCACGCTCCGCCTCGGCTTCACGAGCCTGGCGTTCCTCCTCTCGTTGCCTCCTTTCCTGGCACCGGCGCAGCAGACAGAAGCATGCACATCCTCCCGTGGAGTTGCGGTCATCATTGCATGGGGCCATCCCAATCCTACTCCGACCTCTTCGACTTTTCGTTGCTTCTCTTGCTGCCAGAGATACCTTCGTCTCTCCTGAGCCAGGGGCAGGGCAACCGGAGGTATAACTCTGCATCTCAGAATGCCTGAACGGCGCCATGGCTTTCTTCTTTGCGCCGGATTTCTTGCTTCACCTGCCAGGCGAGTCTGGTCCGCCGCAAGTGACTGGAATCCGAAATCGTCTCACACCTCCTGACGGTTTTCGGCATCATTCAGCTTCTCGTACCACGGAGGAGTAGCCGTGCCTTCTGCTCTCTCCTGCAAAGCCATGTCAGTGCCGAAGGGGCTGTGATCAGGGCATGGCAATCACTTTGCTGCGCCTGGCCCATTTGAGCTGGCTGGCTCTTGCGCTTCGGCTCTGCGAAAGATGCATCTGGTTCGTTCGGCAGCAGCGGGCCATTGGCGTGAATGAGCGAAAAAGGAACATTTTTCCACACCTTTGCGAGTTGACTGTTAATCAAAGGCACCAACGTAGCAGACTGACTGACTGCAAGCAAGTGTCAGAATTATCTGCGGCGAAATGCGCAACCACTCGCCTTGTGAGGGGAGCCATGGAATGAGCAACGCTCAACAACGGCTTCTGGTTGCTAAGCCGCGAGTCAATAAATGCTTCAACAAGAAAACAGAGCATGTTGACAAGCACGGAGAGCGGCCTTCTCACCACATCAACCGATGTGATCACGACCTCATGATGCCTCAGATTGTTTTCGGTTGCATAAAGTGGGTATCAAAGCTGCGAGGGTTAACCAAGATGCGTCTGCTGTGACTCGGACCACCAACGGCACTTGGATCCGACCTGTCCGATAACTCCGATCCGGCAGTTTCGCTTAATTCCCATGGCCAACATATTCTTGCCTGGACCCAGTTTGGGATGCTTCCATCCATAGCCGCGACATGAAAATGCTAAGGCCGCACCCAACCGTGCGGGCAAGTGGAGCATCAACCAATCAAGCTATGCTGACCAAAAGGCTCGGAGCCTCTTTCAGAGATGACAGCCACAGGCGGGACCAGACCCAGCTTCATACACACATGTTCTAAAGCTTGCAAGTGTGCTTTAGCACATGATGTTAAGTTCACGAGGAGCTGGGACACGTGCAGCACAGCGCAACAGCTAGCAGTCCATCTGATGAGCGTTCGCGAATGTGCTGAAATCTTCTGACCAGAACAGGTTCAGAGCAGGTCGCTCGCTCAAATTTTGTCTGACATGGAACACAGCGGTGCGCCCGTCCCATGCTGACTACCCAGCGACCCTTCGCTCACAAGGTTGTCCAAGCAGGACATCTCATTTGACCTCACAACTTTTGCAGAGCCCGTTTCAACGGCAGGAGACAAACAGGTCGAATGAATGCTCATCGGACCTGCTTTGCTTCTCGGCGACAACTGTCTTGCAGCGACTCTGTGTCCACCTTTGCAAATCCAGCGGTGCCAAAAACATGTCCAGTGGAAACACAGCAGCCTCGTGTCCGGGGAGGTGCACGTATCGAACTACGGATCCTGGCAGCGACAACAAGAGTGCAGCAGATGAACATACCCTGCAACACGCATGACAACGTGGCAGGGTCCTCGAATGAAGCAGTTTTTGACTGACAAGAGATGCGGAAATCGATCCGGATCATTCACGCTGACCTGAACACTGACCGTGCACAATATCCAAGCTTTCTAAAGTTAGTTCTCCATGTGATCCTCGCTCGATTTGCAATCTGTAGGTCCGTGCATTGGCAAGTTTCAGGTTCAAGAACTGGTCGGCAGACTGCAATGTTCCTGCTCCACACATCATTCTCACTCCGTGAGTTCCAACTCAAATTTAGTCCGTGAGTTCCAACTCGCAACTATCAATGCGAACCTGTTATGCACAGGTCGTTCTTCAACTCCACCGTCACCTTCGTCAGGACGCATGATCTTCAGCTGTCGAGCTTCTTATCTACATGAGGAGCAAGACAGTTCTAAGTCTCTAAGTGAATGAATTATTCTGTCGCAGTGTGGCCTGCACATTCCGGTCAACCAACGTTCTGAAGAAGGAGAAGAACAGCATATTCAGACCTGAGTCGTACACTTGCTCTCAGCAGAGCTGTGGGCAAGAAGCAGTCATGAGTTGCACGCCTGTTGCTGGAGCGCTGTGAAACCTGTATGCCCCAAGGACGAGGACGCCGGCTCGTTGCTCGGAAACAAAATTACCCACATTGGTCTGAGCCAGCCTCAAAAAGCAACGACATCACGAATAGATGTGCGCGTGGACATGATGCGAGACATCAACGAGCGAAAATGATGACAAGCGTTGCGTTTCAGCCAAAACGATGTCCATGGAAAGCTTGTTGAGATGACACTCATCCAACACACTCTTGTCGATGAAACGATGAAACTCGCCTAAACGATTGGATTCGTTCATGCAGGAAAAACGAAGGGGTTCCAAATTTGCCATTGAAGTAACATGCCGACGTGATGCAACCAGGACAGGGTCAGCCGAAGCTGCAACGGCAATTGACCTCGAAACCAGCTTCCAAGTCGAAACTGCTGCCGCGACATACGTTGCACAAACAAAAGCTCGGAACACTGTCTTGAAAAAGGTTTCTGAGAATCCACGAATGCACCCGTCAAACAAGCTTTGAAGCGATGCATCAACACACGGCTACTTGTCAGCGGAGATGGATACTCATCGGAAACCGTGCATCAACTAGCTGCTGAATGCTCATCAGACTGCCATGAGATCGACGATGGAAGCCAGCATGCATGTTCTGCAACAAACCTGCACACGAACGGACTGCTTCACAAACAAAATCGCTTGAACACACGAACACATTGGCACCCATCAACATCTGTACTATTGCAATGCCAACTCTTGAAACGAACTGCTCAACACAAACTGTTGCAGATCAGGGAAGACCATGCCGTGAGCAAGTTAAAGCGAAGAAACACGAGTGCAGGTAGCAGCAAAAAACCAGGACAGCTAAAGCAACGCATTAAACTTTACGCCCGTGCTGCTGAACGTTTACCGCAAGTTGTAAAACGTGCAAAATCTGGCAAATCATCGGGCGTCGCGTGGAACATCGTGCAAGACACAATCACGGATACTAGCTAATCGACTGCGCCGACACGTTTTCCCTCGACCCAACGAGTCCAACCTCCCGTCTGCAGTTCGCTTGTTCCTGTCGACACTGGCTCCGCCCAGCAATCATCAGCGAAGCCGAGAAGAATGACCCCGTTTTGCCGGCTTGCTCGAGAGTCCATCTGTCGTGGGTGTAACCGACTTATTCACCTGTGCTGAAGATGTGTCGGCTTTGGATGACTGCCACAGTGGTCGAGGAATTGTAGATCATTGGGCGATGCCCACGCTTTGGCTAAATCGAGAGAGAGAGAGAGAGAGATTTTCCCCGCAGGACGCCAACCACACCATTTTGAATCCGATCGCTCTTGTTGCAGGATGGTGCACGGAAGCGGTTTCGAAATGCTGGTGCACTCTCAACAACGCACCGGCCGTGCCCCCGGCCCGGGACGCAGAAATGCCGGTTGCGAGGGTGCACGGGTTGGTGTGAGGCAAACTAGCATGAGGATTGATGCTTAAAATGCTTCCTGTGAGTGATGCTAGCAATACGCTGTTTTGTTGGTAATGCATTATCATTGACAACAAATAGTACCGCTCGTGTAATTGATCTGTAACTCAACCAACAACTTTCAAAAATGCTCGAAACCCTCTACAAAAAAAAATTGGAACAATCTAACCATCCGCACACTCTGAGCCCTTAAACCCTAAAATCTGTAGAAACTGTAACCAACACCGTTTTCGCCTGCAGCGTGCTGTGGTGCACATAACGCCATATCCTGCAATGTCCTGCAATGGACCTTCTTCGGCTGTCCACGAAACTGCCCTCTTTCTGCGAAAAAATCAGTTCCGACATCCTTTGCAGCATCAGCATCCCTTTCACAAAACATATCGAACGAAACACATAAATGGAGCATGCATGACTACTTCTTCTTCTTCGGGAGTGCAAAGATCTTGCCGGAGTTTAAGAGTTCGGTAGGACTGGTCCGTTTCCATTAGGCTGACAAAGGCTTGTACACACGGAGCTTTGAAAACGCGCACTGTTTTAATGCCATCGCAGAAAAGTCCGGTTTCGAGACGGACTCGGTAAGATACCTGAAAGCGCGGTCGGAGACCGGTTCCAGCTGAAACGGGCGGTCGGGCCGAATGACGTCAAGCCGGACGCTTGACCAGACAAAGGAACCGCCCCAAGAACTTTCAAGCAACGGCAGATGTCACAAGAGGCAAAGTAACCCCGAAAGAAGTCGGCGGACGGGAACAGCTGGAGCTGTAGTGGTGCGGACAGCTCAGCACAGACCAAGTGGAAGGCCTGAGAAGGGAGAAAACCCAGGTCGGACGGATTGGCATCACGGTTGGGAGCATCTGCGACATCGTTGGGGCTGCCTGGCACATGATCGATGTCGACGGTGATGCGGAGACGTTCCTGTGGATAGGCAGGTGTCCTGCTCCAAAAGGTCATCCTTGAGCAACTCCCAAATGGCAATGTACGACTGCAATGAACAATCGGGCGAAAGCCACGGAAACAGCGTCAGCATTTGGGCACGGGACAAGGTATTCTGAAACAACAATTGACATGAGTCCAGCAAGCGGACGAACACACCCATACCCACCGATTCAGGGTCGGCGCAAGCGTCAACAAACGCGGTGCACTCGCATTTGGGGGCAACATCAACGAACGGAGGTCGCAACCGGAAGATAGATTTTTCTATTCCTGGTCTTTGTTCCAAGCATTTTTTCAATTGTTTCATTCTTGCCGTTTGAGTGGTGGTTTTGGTGTATGTTTTTATCTTTGTTCCAATCCTTTCAGCAGCAACGCAGACAAGCCAGCACTCTCATATGTGTGTATGAGAAAATGTGTAGATGGATACCCATGTATGTTGTCTCTTACGTGAAAAACGCCCATATGTCTTTATGTATATATATGTATGTATATAT